TGTAGATAGCCTGAGCTGCGGTGGAACGCTGAGCCTAGTGGTTCACGGCTGTACAACTTATTGCTAGCCCGTTATAAGTGCAGCACTATTTCGTGCTTGGACACGGCTGTCATCAATCTGAACCGCGTGTGTCTCCGCTTCTCTCAGTATCATTCCAGAAATCTCCGCTGTTATTTTGCTGTTGGTCTCAGTAAATCTGCTCAACGATTCCTCTACCGTCACTTTATTTCCACTCATCTGAATTTTGTGGGATACAGTTGCAGTGCCAGCAAAAATTAAACCAACATATTTGCTTTCCTTGACCTGATGTAAGAATTTCTTTCGTACCTGCTTTACCGAAATGCTCATTAATTTATTTTGAATGCGTGGCGAAAAGGAAAATGTGTTGCTTTTTCTTCCCATCTGAACTGTCACTAAATGTCCACAAAGAACAGGCTCACACTCGGCCAACGAATATGCCAATTCTGAGAAGTTCTTTTCTCCTGACCTCCTTCATCAACCTGGATGAGTCTCGGAGACCACACAGTCTCCTGCTTTACTTGACGGGAAATCTGACGATATCAAGTATTCCAGCCAAAATTTCACTTCCTGGCTACAACTGCCTTCCTATAAATATTCGGATTGTTAGCTCCTTGCTGTTGTGGAATGACTGAGAGTACAATTTATCAGGTTCGCGTTCATATGCTTCTGAATGTAGTTTCCACCAGTTTCTGAAACCCGCTTCAGTCGAAAAATTAGACTATCCAGTTGAAAACATCCTGCAGCTGAAACAAAACACGGCCTATTTTAAATGAGCTTACATCATCAGTGTTCGCAACGTTTGCTCGTTTTCGGGCAACTCCCGAGAAAACGAGTATGCTGTGAACTTCTTAGCATCAGCTTTGTATTCGTTTCAGATAGCACCAATTCTTGAATTCATGATCGACATGTTGCACAACAAAAACTAAGAGTCGGACAATCATAGTGAGAATTTCAGGGTCAATCCTAACAGGCCAATGATAGACATCCGTAAAATCCATTTATGTGCGTATTATCATACCAAAGTGTAATTGCACTTCCAATTCTTCAACTTCGTGCTCATCTTCTGCATCAGCATTGCAAACATTTCTCACTGCATCCATGCTTCCAATATTACTTACCCTTTCCTAGTGATCAACGTTTGTAGTACGAAGAACATATTCGATCGCATTATGATTATCACCCTTATTTTTTTACCATTACATCCATGGAGGTAATTTCGACGAATTTATGCTTGGTATTGAACAATCATATGTACTAAAAATACCGTCCAAAGCAGACCACCACCTGTGCACGCTTCTGACTGGAGTCACTTTTAAACCCTGTGTAGTCGAACTCAGGTACTGGTAGCGACAAGTACCAGCAAAAGCAATCACGGTTCGCTGGTATTAGGAAGTGAACGTTTCAGGACATGGCGTGTACTGCAACGAGCTACAAAGAACTGGAAGTCAATTAGCGAAGCACGGAGCGATGAACCGCACGATTTACATCGGAATCGGAAGTGAACGATAAATACCATCAGTAAGACAGATGGAGGGTTGTAAGATACAAATAAGAATAAAATTCATTTTTACGAAGTACTGAAAGTGTAAAGGTTTCACTTTGACTACAATCTGAAGAAAGTTTCTTACGTTACCTACACCAGGTTTCACGTGCACTTTCAGCCATGTGGATGGAGTGGAGCACAACTCATCACCTTGGGGACACACTCTTTGTAGTTTGAGGATGAGGTTAATTTTATGCTCGGTTTAGAGACCACATTATCGAGTGAGAGCGCCTGACGGAGTTGACGCCATTTCATCCAATCATGGGCTTGAGCTTGTCGGCCGATTGTGAGCGGAAGACTCAGCGTAAACAATCTCTCGGGATACGGCACGCATCAGCCTCCGCGCCACTCTGGTGCCAATACTCCAAACCCGCTCCACTACCGTCTTGTACCGCCCGAAGTAAGGGAGCAGGTTTGAACGCAGTATCCCAAGTGAGTTCTGCTGAAAAGCGGGTAAAACTTAACAAACTGCTCACCTTCCAGGATTCCAAATGACCCGTGGATCATCCACATAATTCTAAACCCCTTGTAATCCGTTTTTCAGTTTGCGCAGGACTTGACATTTGATGACAGCGTGACACCTAGTACATTGTTACACCCCTAAAAAGGCATTGATGGGACACTGTTCCTAAGGCTTAAAACTCAAGGCCTTATTTTCGTTTGCATTTAATGCTTCTACTTTCGGATTGAATTCCCAGATGGTAAACTTAAAGACTGGTCGGAAGTAGCTGTCCCTACCCTAGTCGATCTCCGTCAGTACAAAGCAATCGGATCTAGCCAAAGACAATTGTTCCGATGGTAGATTGAAATGCTTAAAGATCAACTTAAAATGTTTAGCTTTCATGCTGAAGATTGGACCACTTTCCTTTGTCACAAACAGGGGTCATGCCGAGCATCTCATCGCATGGATTTTGGCCACACTTTTGGTTGTCGTACTCCGTAGTTCGGATTGTACCCTGGTGAACGAACATCGCAGCGGGGCGCATATCAGCTGTGTATTGTTTTTTTGGGCTAAGGTATCCGGGGTCTGGTGCATTCAGTAGCAAAAATAAGGGTGTTTCGCAATGGGGCATGTTTCACTACGTTTTCCACTTAGAACTGCAACAGTCTGGTAGATGCCCTTCACCAGAAATTCAAGCGCTGATTTAGCGCAGTCTACCAGCAATGTTCTGGGCAGAAGAATGCCGAAAAGTTCGGTTCATGGTGCGCATGCAAGGAGTTGACGAAAATATCAGAGCTGCGATAATAACACGACAGCAGCACAAAATAAGATTGTGCAATGCCGTCTGATCCCGCAGTCTATAAACTTGCGTCCAGCTTATTAGGGGCAGCAGACATGCCAACATTGTTTCGCATCTGAGGTTTTCCTTAATCCTCATTGCAATTTGGAAATGAATTCAGCTGTAACCATTTAGTTTCAGTTGTACTGTTCACTAATCTAAGGTTATGTAAAGCCATTCCTTCGTAAATTAGCAATAGCAACAGAGGACACAACAGAATGTGGATTTTCACCAGCTTCCAATATTGCATGTGCAACATCGGAGACTGAATCTCACTCGATAGATACCTACTGGCTCTTTACAGGGCAATAGAGCTAATCGCGGGCCCAATCCGGCGCCATTCTTTCACGCGGTAGGTCTGTACACTTTGCAGTTTCGAATTAGATTTCGCGATAATTAAATTTTCAATGTCTGTTTTGATTTCGTCTTCGCCAACCTCGGTGTTCGGTTACATGGTGTGCACACCAATGCTTGGCTGATGAAATGCCGCCCATCCGCTGGCCCCACGACTGATTTTGATGTAAATACAACCGTCACTGCCTCAAGAAGCGCAAATCAAAGCGGTAAAATCGTCGTCCGAATCGGATGCAAAATGACCCACTTTAGGTAGAAAAATTCGTTTTCTCTCGTAGTACCGAAGCCTCTACCCGGGGTGTCAGAGAACGATGGCGTTTGTATCTCAGCCTTGCAACAACCACAAGAACAACAAGGGCAGCATCAGAAGTGGTCGATCAATTGGTTGGGGCTGTAGTGAGAAAGACTGTTTATCCGAATCCGACGGTTCGGGCTTGTTACAACACTCGATACTGGACGGGACAAAGTGCATGCGAAAAGCACTGGAACCGGGGCAACAGAGGAAAAACAGCTACGCCAAGCTAGAATTGTGAGAAAGCGATGGTGCACGCGTTGTTCGACCCTGGACCACTGAATCCCTTCCATAGCTCCAAAGTGATGCTTACACTCGATTCATTGCAAGTCCCTGGGCACAGCACATGCGCGCTTTAGTAAAATATTAGACTCGCATAGATTTGTGGGTAAAACTGCGAGAAAATCTGTTAGCTAACGGTTTTTAAGCAAAGTGGTGCATTTTGTTAAATAATTTGATTAAACGGACGCAGGTCCATGCTGACTGCTTTTCTGGAGTTACATTTTATTATCGATTCTTTATGGTGCTAAAATGCAAAGAAATGCAGTGGGTATGGTATCTTGTTCAATGGCTAATAAGTAATACTGTCACACACTAAGTAACATATTAAGTGCCACGGAGTCCAAGGGATAGGGCGATGCAGTCCCACTGGAAGAAGAATTGGAATATTTCCTTTGCTGAATTAGATCCGGTTTGACTGAAATACTAAAGGAAGATGGAGTTCAGTGTCGTGACATTCGTATCCTCAGTGTGTCTTAACTGCGTGTACAGGTGCGTTTGCAATGCCAATGTTTCGCTTTATGCAACCCTTTTCATCGAACTCCAGGCAGAATGAGAATGAAACTGCACAAACCACCGTGTGTCATCGTGGTGAAACGATGCAGAATGACTGAAAGCCAACGGTAAAAAACTAAAAGTTTTATCAACATACTGGATGATGTTACATACTTTGAATACAAATGAATTGTCTATTTCGGCTTCAAAGTATGTGCACCATGACTTGTCCTTTCACAGTAGTTCACAGAAGAACCAAAAGTCACGGTGACTGATGGAAACGCGAATTTGTCACCTCGTATCAATGAAATACTGATGATAGTCCGAATGACATCAAATAAATTAAGAGACTAAGTGTTACTTCCCTCTGATATCTTGATAACACAGTTTTTGCACTAAACATTTTCAAAGAGATATGGACTTGAATGGTGAAAGCGGAAGGAGCAGACATAAAAGACCGGTAAGCCTTCAGTACTAGCCTTCACCCTTGTCTGAAAATATTTTGTATTCTTCGAACAAACCTCCGTGGCCATTCGTGTACCAAAATGGCTTTAACAAACAACAGAGACGTCTTACCATGGAACACTGAAACCATTACTATCTAAATGAAAGCTGCTTGTTTTGTAATATTATTGAAACTCATTGCTCTCGGTGAGGTGCAACTGTCTACTACTCGAAATAACTCATCTATGTGACTAGGTCGATATATATTTGGGATTCAACTTCAGTGGTAGGTCAAATGACCAAGCGAACTTTATCGAAGCATCGCACCTGGATGAAACATCAATGTCTTCGGAGTGAAAGCTTGGCTGTGTAAAAATATGTCAAGCTGCGTCTCACTTCTTCGGCCAGTGAATACACTAACTTTGATATGCTGGAAACACTTTATCGCTTGATGAATCAGCCAACTATGGGAAACAGTCTATCGATGTCTGATGACGGTTTATCGAGTGTCTCCGAGGCAATGTGTTCAACCTGGGAAATGTCGGCTGGATGATACCAACAACGCCATATCCGTAATTTAAGGTAACCAGTGCAATAAAGGAAATTTCCTTTCAGTAGTTATTTACCTTGTACCAACTTTGTGGGTAACAGCCTCAAAAAGTAGCAACGACTGGTCTAGACTATGGAGCATTACAATTAGGACTAGCGATTGACACTCAAATGAAATCAAACAGCTGTTTTGAGTAAAGCGCTACATTCCAAGTCGGTTGAGTGAACATCACCGTCTCACGGTTCTTCTCGGATTTTCAGTTAGCGTGAACGCATTTTTGGTTAAGAATCGTGTCGTAGTGAACGCTTAGTAACACAAAACTGTACATGAAAATTTTATTCAGGAGAAATCATCCCATCTGCGTATCAGTGGTAATTTGATATATTTGTTCCTAAAGACGCATGTTGCGCAATCATATCGAGCACAACCGCGTTAGCCAACCACACCAACTGCTTAGTTTGACTCTACCCGATACCTGTCCGTATACTTTTCCATTCGTCACCTATCTAATGCAATTGCAGTTGCGCGCACGTATTAGGGTACGAATTTCATTCACCCCTTTGACGTGAAAGCAGTTATTGATTGGCTGTTCAGTGGAAGAACCAAAATTACTTCTAGGGGGTGAACAACCACACACAAACCTCTTGTACCAAGCAACTACCGGGTGTTGGATAGAAGGGATGTGCAAAACACACCACACTTGTACGGAACAGGTAACAACCCCGGAAATCATCGTGCAACTGCAGAAGCGCCCTTTCGCCCCCGGGTTGCATGGGGTATTTGTGCATCGCACCGATGCAGCCAGACCCAGGTTCAGGCGACGAAGCGGAATGGTCACCGTAAATCTCAAGCATTGTCTATGAAAGCAGAAGGTTGATGTCAGAAGATTTATGTAATGTAGTTGTTACACCAGAACCAAGTGGATTGTTTCCACGGAAGTGATTACTTTCAACAAGGCGCGAATGAGTTATACCAGTCAATGGCTTGCTGACCATCTTTTGAGTTTATGTATACCAATTAACCCGGAATACTGAGATCAACACTAAACACATCAGCTGTATCTGACATCGTAAGGCAATCATGAACTGTTTTGTATTCTGTTGGTTGGCAACAGTACTGTTCCCTGCACAAGGGTGCTTCAAATCAGCCATGTACTATCGGGCTAAAACTCGTTCCAACTCACACATTTTTCTACCGGGAGAATATCAGCCACCGCAATTGGAGCACACAATGGAAGCCAGTGGCCCGTTGGATGCACGGGATTTTCAACATTCCGTCCCAAGCAAGTGGCTTGTGCGTGTGGATTCCCCTTACATCAGTTTCGATTCGGAGGAGGCCAGATGGATGACAGAAGTGAGTTTGATGGAATGTTCGTCCTTCCTTACTTAACTTGCTAGGTTTTTTGTGTGATGTAACTTCTATGCTAGACATTATTGTTAGCCGATACCACCAGGTGATGATCATAAGACGATTGAGCACGCTTGGCGAAAAGTTAAAATTGACCTTTTGCACTACATTTCTTCCACTTTTGCTGCAGCCTAATATACAATTTAGATTCATTGTGCTGTAACCGCCCTTTGATATCTATCATACACAGTAAATACGGTATATTCTTCGACTGTACGACGTACAGTCTGACTCAGTGGTCTGATCAAATAGATACAAGTGATCGCATAAAATAGATAACTGCTTATTTTTTGCTACGATTCACAAACATATTGTAGTAAACCTTGGCGGCATGTATCAGAATGATTGATAAATTATGAGCAATAACAAATAGAGATATAGGCATAATTCAAGTGAAGCAATATGACCATCCATGGAACCATCTGTAGGGGACCTACTTATATGCATGGTATTCCGCCGAAAGGTTTCAAGCACACTTGTTTGTCCCATCGGGCTGTGTTCCGGTGTGGGCAATAGCATAAATGTCAACACCTCTTTTACACATCTTCAGGACTGTCTAAAAGCCAAGCACACGGTTCTATTATTTCGCTCATTTCGAATATGACACACTACTTTTTTAAACGCCAGGGAGCGAATGGCAATATGCATTGCATGGGTAAAAGTATTAGCCTAGATACTTCAAACTACCACCTCAGACGATCAGCCCACTCGTGGCCCACAATGATGTGAGAAATAAGCCAAATATAGGGAATTAAAACAGTTATAAAGTACATTTCACTTCTCGATAAGACGAGATATAGTTCATCGTTCGTGGACCGATCATCGTGTATAGAAATGTTTCACAGTAGTTTCACTAGATTGTCACTGGTCGAGCGGATATGTTGGCACAATCGGCGATGCCTCTCGTAGAGCGTTCAGCCGAAAAATATAATTATTTGCATCATCGTGCGACTGAAACAAACTTCTTCAGACGGTCAGAATGGACAGAGCAACATGCTAAAAAGAAGAAGAGAATAATTGTTATTTAAATTACACGAGGTATGATAAAGGTAGAAGCGGTACAATATGAATAGAAAAATCACACAGAATCCGGAGACATGTACTAAGGTACATTCTACTTTTAATACTGAGTGGAGAAAAGTAGCATCTACAACTGCTAATTATCATAGTTATTATTTGAGTATAGTAAAGCGAAGACCAGGTGGTCAGTGTCCAAGGAATTTAAAAGGATAAAAGCTAATGATATTCCTGCCAGTGTGACAACGTTTGCACAAGCCAAAGCTAGATATTGCAGCCACCTACTACCGTAATCTGAGAGTAAATACAAAGGTGAGTTACTGAGATGGAGACAAGAGGTCCAGCGTCGGAGGTTCCAGTGAGCTAGATTGTACGCCAAATAATGTTCAATAGGAGGAAAACGAAACGATATCGAAAAAATAAAAGCCTTTAAACAAGGGATGTAGAGATTTACTGATCGCTTATCTGAACCGGTTTTGGTCGTTTTGCTCTTTTTTCGCTGCTCAATATTTTCCGTCGGGTCCTTTTCAATAGTCCTCTTCTAGTAAGTTTATTCAGAATAGCTCAACCGCCTTTATTTATCGTGAGAAATTGGTGTATTCTGTTACCGAAAACCTACGGAAAAATGCAGCGTAGTAAGGATATTGGAAGCCTGTTCCAGATGGCCGCATGCTTATAAGGACCAAACTGCGTATGTTTTAGTGCGCGATTTTAATTTTGACAGAGCGAATTCTTTGTCTCATATTTTGTAACGTGAAGTTTGTTGCAATTTAGCAGACTAACCTAGCACATGAATCCTTCGATGAATTGTATCGTAAGGGATTGGCAAGTTAACCATAATACTTCTGAGCCAAATCCAGTCAAGTTTTAGCATTCTGCGTAAGTCTTCGTGAGATCCATAAGCAATTTTCTAGAAGTACACTGAAGGCACTTCAGCGCCAATACATCGCACTGCCGTGTCTTATACTAAACTTAAGAACAGTACTCTAACATTGGGTGTTTACGTCTTGGAAAATATGAGCTTAGCATCTATTGAAGCGAGCTGTCTGAAGAACATCGCATTTTTATCAGCCTTTGCGACGGTATACTGTACGTTTTTCATGTTCAAACTAGTGGAATAATGTAACTCGAGGTCACGGACTTCAGCAACGCTGGTCAACGGTTAACCTTGGGAAGTCACTGGAGCTGATCGAATATCACAGCGGTGTGAAAGAACTCCGATATTTCCTATTACGAAGCTCATTTCTGTGGTGAAGCACCAAAACGCAAGAGCATCTGGATCAGTTCGTACGCGAATCCAAAATGTACACAACTTGGATATAATCGGCTCAAAATTGCGGGCAACCATGGGCAAATACATCAATGACAACGTTAATGTACGTAAGTAAAGTAAAGAACGAATTACGTTGCCTTGGGTAACACTGCTTGTTACCGGCCTGCGACAGGATATGTTGTTTGCAATCCCAACTGCTGGGATTCCGCCATTAGTATAGGATGAAAGCCAAGCGAGTAAGGGATGAGCTTTACCAAATGGTGTCAAAGTTATCAAGAGTCTATCATGATAGAATTAGTTGAAGGAATGCTACACATCGATGCCACGAGAAATATACCATACTATAATTAACATAAAAGTTTCCTCATCGACAGATTTTGTGATGTGCTTTTATAGTTCCAGATGGTATGACTGACAAGAACGATGTTTTACAAAACCATGCTGCACCGTGCTAATAAGGTTTTTTGCGCAGAAATTCATAAACATTTTCCTGGACAACCTTCCCATTAGTTTAAGCAGAACAGAGTTATGGTTAATTGCGTGTATTTTGCCACTTTGTTGTTGGAGCCTATTTTATAACGTGCAACTACTTTCGCGTGTTTTCAATGAGTTGGAACGGTGAACAAGGTTTGAAGCGGGAGAGGGATATCGAAACCACTATATTTTAAGAGAGCTTTAGGAGTACCATTGGGACCGCCGTAGAAAGATGGCATTAAGGAGCTGAGGGTATCCTTTATTTCTGTATGAGGAAGGTCGATTGTTGCCGAAACAACTATCGGACACAACTTTGTCGAGCAGTTGGCCTTGTGAGTGTGACATCATTATGAGAATGAACAGAAGGGTTGATTAAAAATATCGCAAATAATCGCAGAGCGTTTGATACTGAAGTAGCTAGGGCAACAGACATCGTGTCGTCATTCCGGAACCCTTTACGGTGTTTAAGTGGCTCGATAAGTTATTTTTGTTTGTTGGAACCCAAGAGAGCTTTGGATTTTTAGAAAATGGACCTTTTAGCTCGGCGCGCTTTTAATCTGTTACGTAGGTTTTAACGTTGATAAAATATGGTGACATCGTGTGTTTCATTGTAGAAACAGACTAATCTGCTGATCTTCTGTTTAATATCTACTGAAGAATTGCTGTCTTATACAACTCTCCGGTGTCTCTTTTGGTTGAAATGTGTACGGATATCTAGACATTTGCTGATATACAGCATACTTCATTTGCTATTTCAAAATCGCCTGTAAGAATAATGTAACCTATTGACTCGGCTTTAGCACTGATGCTAATATTCTCCATTCATTCAAATGATTTGGCCGATGAGACACCGCAAATTTCGGCATTACGCACTCTGACCTGACACTGAATGCCACCAAGTTGTTGTCATTACCCAGAAGGCTGCCCAAGATAGTGACTTTTTCAATTAAAAGGTTCTAGTTAAAGATTAGTTTAAAGATGTTACCATTCCATTCCGACGACAAAACATGTTGAGCCCAACCTTGCGAGCAGACGCTAGTGACAAATTCAAGCACTGTATGTGGTAGTTGTGACAGTCGCCGTTATCTCTGTCATGTTTGTCGTCCGCAGCCAGCGTATATCTGTCTACACACTCCGAGATTTCGTCAAATATTTCAGTGTTATACTATTGATGTTGTTGCATTGTGACGAATTGTAGACACCTTTGATGAGGAATTTTTAAATATTTACTTTTGTAATTTGTGCTAAGCAAACCAAGTTCTCGAGCTTTGATTCAATCAAAGGTGAGGAACGAATCATTTCATCAATATACACAATGCAACCACCTCCACTGTCATTGCGACGGCCGGCTGAATAGATGTTATACCCTAAATTATGGTGGTGGGACTCGTGCGTCTGATCGCTGAGGCATGATTCCGCGATCATAACAACATGAGGGTTCTTGAAGCATTCAGATAGACGAAGTAAACCCATCGTGTCGTTAAGGAAGCATACGGTATTGAGAAAAAGTTCCATATTTTCGTGCGAATTCTGTAAATCTCGGATTTGTTTAAATACAGGTAGTCGAAAGGCACTGGAGCCGAAAGAGTAACCACGTCTGTGGGAGTAATGGCTGGAGATTTTTTATACTTACATTTTACCGAACTATATGGATAAGTTGGCAAATAGGAAACTTGGGTGCTCTGATGCAGGTGTGGCATCTTAGTCGGAGACAAGCGTGCCGCTGTTTAACCTGATTTGTCTCGCTGCATTAGGCTGTAGAGCGAGACCGCTAAACTTTTTCAATGGGGCCGTAGACTCAACTGAATCGGTTGGAAGTTGGTCGTGGTGTAGCTGGTGGAATACGCATTGAATACAACATTTTGGGTATAAACTTACCATTGCCTTTGCAGGCATTGTTAACTATAACGATTCCAACTGTGGCCGTGATACGACAGCACTGAGTGGTCGTTCGTTTCGGTTGTTATCCTAGACGCATGGCTCATCTTCCCTAATTAAGGCAAGTAGGTGTGTAGGTAGGAAGTTGTTACTGTGTTGTGCTATGACTGGGAGAACAGCCGTTTGCTGTTAGTATAATAACAAACGTTTTGAACCATCCTCATCGCCTAAATAGCGAACGGAACCCGTACATTTTAGTTAATTCACTATCAACGGCGTTGCTTAATCTAAGTAGAAAGCACAT